GGATCTTCACGAAAGCTACGCGCTATGCGTCGGCTATTAGATATCGCTCATCATGGTATGAGCGCCTTACCGTGTGTGAATTTATGCCCCATTCACGAAGTGCAAGCTTGAGTATTTGTAACAAAGAGATTGTCTGAGCCCGTTCAACCACACCTTTATTGTCCCACATAAGTTCAGACTCCGAAAATCTGTACTATAGATCTCAAGACTGTACATAGACTGAACATAGGCAAGCTCCAGAAAGCTCGTATAAACACATACTGAAACGAGGCTTGCCAAGGTGGCCTACACAAGTTTGATTGGGCTCTCATGCTCATAAGGTAGACTTCGTCCCTTTCGGGTGTGTTGGATATAGGCCAATCCAATGCGGTCACACGTTTTTTTCGATTTGACATTGCTGTCTACACTCAAGCCTTTCAAAAGGAGACGTTCCACTACAGGAGGCTTGGACACCCTCAATCGACTTTGATGAAGCTCATTGGAAGTCACACAAGCATTTGCAGGATGGAGACCAAGGCCAGTTCACCCTCATGTCCACTGCACTACTTCGAGTCTGTCTCAAATGGCGCCCATTACGTACTTCTCGAAGCTCTCCAGCGTGTACTCCGGTGCATAGACGTAGTTGAAGGTCGACACGCTGTTGTTCGTGTAGGCAAGCGCCGGGTAAGTACCTCGCTCGTCCTCCTCCGTGTCCCCCCAGTTTCCTCCACTCTCACCATCTTCGCAGTAGCCGTGCTTCTTGTTGACAGGCGCGTCGTCAGCGCTCGCGGCAGGATCCTCTGTTTGCACTTTGCCGACGAACCTGCCGTCGTCGCGATAGATGATAACAGCGCCTGTAACGACGCCGTTGTTTCTTGCTGCGACGGCGCCCACGTTGCGCACAGCATCACCCACTTGCAGCTTCCCCGTCTCGCTCAGCTCCAGCGCCGGCATCGTCTTGTACCCGCTCTTGGAGCCAACTCGGCTCTCTTGCAAGTGCAAGAAAGCGGTGTCGTGCTTGACGAACGCCAGCTTCTCTTCCACGGTGTCGCACTGGTAGAAGTCTCCCGCCGGGTAGCCGGGCGCTTTGGCAACCGAGTCGCTGGAAAACCGCACTTGGTGCTGCAGCCGGCTTTGGCAGATATCCATGTTCGTGGTCACCCTAAGGGCGTATATGTCTTGGATGGCCCCTACCAGGCCGTGCTGCGCGGTCACGACTTGGTAGTACCCAGCTGGCCTTCTCGACGTGATCTTGGGCGTGTTCTCCAGTTTGGAGCACGTCATAAACGTCTGCACCATCTTGCGCTTGCTCCACTTGAGGATGATGAGCAGCATGAGGCGTTCGTAGCAGGGGTGCGCCTACTTTGAGTTACCACCCGCATAACACAAGGCAATGTCATTGTTAGGTCGCGGGCCTCTTGGGACCCATTGTCCCCCTCGCCAGCATGAGCTGACATGAAGAGGCAGCCGCGAGCAGATTCTCCTGCGCTTGTATGCCTGCTCAGCATGTCTGATGCAGCAAACGTACGAGGCTCTCACCTGCGTTTATCTCTAGCTGCCTTCCCGTTCATGAAAGTTGCAAACAATTCTTTCACAAGCTATGGCAGTGTCGAGTCGACGAGGCCAGCAAGGTCAGCACCCCCGCAGCGCTCGCTGGGAACGAAAAGTCTGGATCTCGTCTTACCTCGGGATCTCCCCCTCCCTCTTCTTCCGGAATGTGGAAGGCCTTGCGTGGCAGGCGGCGGTGCTCGTCCCCAATCCAGGGCAGGAAGGGCGGGGAACGGCTCCCAAACTCGCCCCCCAGTACTGCAGGACAAAAGCAGGGCGCGTTGAATTGAACCTTTGGGCGCACCTGTGAGCTGTGCAAGATCGAAAGAGGGCTCGAGGTCGGATTCGTCACCTATAGGCAGACAGAGACGCACCGCACACTGACACGAGCATAGCTGTCAAGATTGTACCCTCCAGAATCACAGCTCCTGTGCAAATACACAAGGCCCCGCAATGGTGGGGGCAGGAAGACAGACCGATCCGAGCGCACAGCATGTACGCATGTCAGCGCCACCTGGGCATGCGCAAACGACTTGATTGACGCACAAAGAAACCATTTGGGACGGGACCCACCTCTCTATTACTGGCCTGGTCAGCCTCGGCACGGCCCATGGTGTATCTGGAGTAGGAATCGATGGTGTTACGGATCTGCTGGGACTCAGTCAGGCTGATGTCGGCGTCCTTCCCCATCAGGTCCTGGAGCACCCAAGGCAGCAGTCAGCCGAGGCGCAGGCGTCGATTCCAAAGGACAGGCAGCGAGTAGGATGCAAAAGAAAGGAGCGCAACACGCGCGAGCACCGCAGGGTGGAGCCTGGCGCTTGCCTCCTGCCCAACGCTGCGAGAAGCAAAACGAGCAGAGGCCCCGTACCGCAGGCGCAGAGCGCGGGTTGCTTACCTTTGCGTCTAGCAGCTCGCAGCATGTCACCGCTAGCTCCGCCGCCTCGTTGCACTGATCCACCTGGAGGGCACGCAGAAAGAACGTCTGTGTGCAAGAAAGGCGGAAGGCACATGCACTGGACCAGCGCGCCAACAGTGCACAGAGGCAGAGGACAGAAGCACCGCATGGAAGCGTCCAGACCAAAGCAGGCACAGCCAATCACGGCAGCAGTCTCCTGCAAGTCTGGCAGCTATACTGCTGGATGTCAAAAGTCAGGCAGAAGAGCCAGAGGAGAGTGCGAAAGGACCCATATACTCAGCGAACAGCTTACCAAGTTTTGTGGAAAGGACGTGTCAGCCGGCGCAATCTGCAGCTCAACGGCTATGTTCTCTAGCTCCTCCATCAGGCGGCGAAGGTGCTCCGTCTTCTGCCGACCCACAGGGAGCACTTCCGCTTCCTCCCCCTCCGCTTGCGGGCCCTCCTGGCCAACCTCCTCGCCTTCGGGCTGCATGGGAGGAGCTGAATCCTCAGTCCGGCATTTGGAGTCAACAGCAAGTGTCAGCACAGTCCTTCCTCCCTTCCGCTTCCCCGTTCTATGAAAAGCACACCACTAGGCCCTACTAGGAGAGCAACAATCTGACATTTTCAGGTTCCTAGCTTGACCTTCTTGGGCAACCATAATGGATCACACATATTGCCCTTGCCCAAAAGCGCACCCCAGCTGCCCCCTCACCTGCTCCGTCGCCCTGCTCCCTACGTCCTCCCCCAGTGACGTCACCCTCTCCGGCGTCCCTAAAGGGAGGGCGCTCCTCTCCTGCTGCCCCGTCAGCAGCTCGTCGTCTGTAGAGCTCACGGCGCCCTCAGCAGCGCGCAGCCTCTCCCTCGTCTCCTCCATCTCGCTCGTAACCATCGTGACCTCTTGGGACTGTGCTCCTGCCTCAGCAGGTGACGCTCCCTTTTGCTCGTGCGTCTGCGGTTGGGGACGAGAAACAAGGATTGAGCAACCTCATATGCCGACACCGCTATATTTCTCCCTGAATGACCGTCGACATTCGTGGTCCATTCACAAGCGCACTTTCCATGGCTCCCTTTTCGTTGCCCCTATTTTAACGGAGTCTTCAGGGAGGGAGTCACTGAGCTCAGCTTTCATTCCTAGTGAATCATCATCTCAAAAGGTGTAGCGCTGGGCAGCCACTCGAAGTTTTCACGCTTGTGTGCATGTGCCTTAGACTCGCGCAAGAGCACCAGGGATGCACTGCAAGAGTGCCTGCTCACTACTCACACCACTCTTAAGTTGGCACAGGATGCGCCTGTTGTCATACCTCGGCAATGACGACGTCGGCAGCTGCTTCCTGTTCAGCGCCACTGTCTCCCTCTCTTGCTGGTACTGCGGGTTTAAGTGAGGGTTCGTCCTCCATCCAGGGAAGGAACGGCGCCGACCGGCCACTGAACATGAGCGTCCAGAACTGCAAAGCACATGGCAAAACGCTCGGATGAATGGCACAGCTCAGGAAAAGGAAGCGCACCTTATAGGTCCTTGCTGGCAACAGCAAGGCGAATGATCAGAGTCCTAGCATACCAAGAATCGGCATCTCCCTCACAGGGCATGATACATCTCTCTTACACACATCTCGGACGGTTGGAAGCAAGCTTCAAAGCTGTGTACTCATGCACTGAGGATGCGCTGTGGCAACCCCACGCCAATGCCCCTCAGGGTTAAAGAAACGAATTGAGCAAGAACAGGAGGAGCAGACCATTCAGACCATTACCTCCCCATTAGCGGACGCGTCAGCCTCCGCACGGCCCAGCGTATAAGCTTTGAAGGCGTTCATGGCCTGGCGAATTTGGCGCGACTCCAACAAGCTGAGGCTGCCGGCATCGTTCGTCATCTCTTGCACCACAAACAGCACTCAGACGTGGCGCTCCTTTGGTAAGTCGGGCAGAGGCGGAACGAGATACCATCGTGATGATAGAGCAGTTTTCAACGAAGGCCACAGCATGACGCCTCTGCTGAGATCCGTGCTGGCGTAGGCAACGAGCTGGTAGCTGGTGCTAACACAGAGCAGGGAGTTTGGGTCCAGGGAAGCAGTGTCATGCTCGATGAGCTCTAGGCGGGTCCGGGTCGAGCGCATAGCGTATGGACATCATATAGGCATATAGCGTATGCACACTGGACATATTTCTGCCCACTCTAGTTGGTTAGGCTTGAGACTCAAACATAAGTT